AAAGCTTCGAACCTCCGAAGTATGTTTACACTCGTTTTAGCAGAAAAAAGCACAGATGAAAGCACAAGCACACTTACATGCTCCAGGTAGTCTGTGCGATGTTTTCGCTCGGCCAACAATCGCACTCGAGACCGGCGCAGGCACAGTCTGCCGGCATTCGCTGGATCTGTCGGCCGTCGCTCGAACTCGGCACGAAACCGCGTCACGCTGGTAGCACTCGCAGTCGTTCGTCGTGTCCTCGTCGTTTCTAGATTACGAAGCGGTCATTCAGGAACGTTTGGAGCAGTTCCGTGCTTGCATCCAGCACTCGCTCATGCCTTCGAAGCGGTGGCCATTAGGCACAGCATTCGGAGGGCATCGCGGCCTCTGGTTGGTTGGCGCCGCTGTACGCGTGGTGACGTGGTGTACGCGTGGCAAAAATATCAAGCCTAGCTTGATCCTTCGCGCCTCCTCGCGTATGCCCCTCCGACGGTGAGAGGCGCATTTGACGCTTTTGACACGTAGACGCGAGCATACTCGTGCCAGTTGTTGACACTTTGAATGACACGCAGAAAACAGACGCGCGCAAGCATCTCCCGTGTAGCTCGGTCACAGTCCACCTATTAGTGCAGGGAAGGAGACGTGCGTCGCGTTCCATTTTCACAGACACCGTCCCAATGCCGCTTTTTTTATCCGCTAGGCTTTGCGTTCTGGCGCTGCAGTCAGATTAAAAACCTCGACTGCACAAAACCCGTAGCGGCTTCTCATCCATCCACTCTAGCCACATTATGGTGCATTGACTAAGGGATAGAGAGCTTCATTAGCGTGCGTCTCCGACGCGCGCACATTAATGCTTTCTAGTCAGGGGATGCTACGGAGCTCGCTCTTCTTTTTCTCGAGGAAGGCACTTCTCATGAGTGCACGCGCGAAATTAATTCAACGACGCGCGCTTGATGTTCGTGGACGCTGGCAGTTCGGCAGGCTGCGCTGTCGAGATACACGAAGCGAGGCTGTTTCCGATGACAGCGTGCGTCCCTTCCAAACACCGACGGATCTGGCTTTCGAAAGGTGGCCTCCCTTCCCATATTTGGCTCATTGTGCGTTCGACTCATAGCTCGGAATACTGTGTGAGATAACCATGTCACGCTTATCCTCGATTTACGTTCAATTCCGTTCCTTAAGCGTCTGGTTGTGGCGCTTCTGTTTCCTTCGGTGCATAATCACTTGTTGGAGCCGCAGCCGTCGTCGTTTCGATCGCTTTATTAAGGCAGCGCGCTTTTGTTTTAAGGGCGAAGTTCTTTACGGTGTAGGCTGTTCGTCCCTTCTTTGCAGTGTAGCCACCCCTAGCTTAGTCCTAAGAATGTCCGCTGGAAAGCGGTACTTGTAAATCATGAATATATAATTAAAAGATGCGAGATGGCTGTACTTGGAGTGTTCACTAGATGGACGGACGTATGGACGTACAGATAGATGGACGGGCGAAGATACAGACGGATGGACGCACGGATTAACTGACTGACGCTTCGCCCCACTCGTCATTCACTCCGTGGATATGCTGTTATTTTTTTCTCTTTTTCTCACGAGACAGCAGCGTCAGCCATTACGTTGCTGGCATCCACCATGAAACGCACCAAGCAATGCAACCGATGTGTGTATATGCGCGTGTGGCATTTATTTCGCATTAGTAAATGAGCAGTCACATCAACCTTACATATGTCGCACTTATTGCGCCAAACACGTAGTCGTCGATGTCCTAGTGACGATTTGGTACTAATAATTTAATAGAGGGACGAATAATATGTGCAATATCGACTAGTATGTTCAGTATTGAACACAATTGAAAACAGGGGCAAGCCTGCCGAGTTTCAGTGCGCCAGCGCTGCCAAGCGGTCATATCCACGGTCCCAACCCATCTGATCACGTCTCCCCACAAAATGGTGCTGCAATCTTCAGTTGATATTTCATCTGATCGGCATGCTCGTGTATATAGACGTGTCTTCACCACCCTCATTGCCGTCGTCGTTGTCATCAGCGTCCACAAGCGATGATGAAGACAGTGAGGAATAATGAATCATGGCTTTTCGCGGCGTGGTGAATCATTTTCACTATGATCCGCTTCTGAGCAGTGATTCT